CATTATATATTATAATCAACTGTGGTTATCATTCCATTTTTCCTCACACCCAAGTATCTGCATGAACTCTCTCACATCCACTCTTGGAAGAGTGTGAGTTTGACCTCCCTTTGTTACAGCAGGACTCCTCTTTGTAATTGGCACTGGGACCAGAGGGATTAGAGTTCATTGTGTACCTTTGGAATCTTTTGACAGAAAATTTATCCAAAGCACACTAAAGTAAAACAAAAAGTATGCTGTGATCTAAGCCCTTAAATGATAATATTGGGGTTTTATTCTCAAGATCTATAATTGTTACATAATTAAAATGTGATTCCAAATGCAAAGTTAATGTAGATTATTGTAGCAAAACACTGTAAAATCTTGATTTGCGGATCAGCTGTAGAAATGTCAGACTCCATAGATTTGCAGACCATTTAAGCAGCAAAATTGTGAACTTTGTTTAAAATGTTGCTTTATAGAAAATTTAGAACTTATCAGATAAGTAGAAATGATGTTTTAGGGAATCACACTGTAATTGAAATGACAGTTGAAGCTGAAAATACTGTAAGTGCTTCCTGACTATTCCATTTGTCTGTGGAAATTTACATATTTATTAATGTTGAAGATTAATTATATTACGTGGGTATTCAATCTCTGTCATGTTGGTATTCCAGCATAATTGTTCAGAAATGGAAAGTTTGAATAAATGGTCAAGAATTAATCCAGAATATTTTTGACAGTACACTATTTTAAAAATAAAAAAAAAATGAACAAAATTTTAGTACCACATAGAGTCTATATTTTTTTAATCATAAACACTGTATTTTTATTTTCTCTGGATTATACCCTGAGAGAAATTTTAAATCTATTTCTTCAAGCTACTAGATGCAGAATGACTAATCTGAGTAAAGCATCAAACATTAATGTAAAAGAAAAGGTGCCTTCACTTAAATACAAATCCCCTTACAGAACATATATGAGGTACTGCTAATGTAGCATGTTAAAATATAAATATCCTGAAATGAGATTTTTGCATTTTTATGCTAATTTATTGATTTTTGTAAACAGCTGATTACAATACAACCAGTAAAATAATAAACCAATGCATCATATGAGATCTACCAACGTTCCACTTTTCCTGACAATCTGAGACAACTTTCCAGTTAAAATGCTGTTGTTTTTTCCTTTTATCTTGACCCATAAGCATTCTAGCAGGCTTCCATCCATAGTTTTATGCAACTCTGTGGTGATCTCTAACATATAATGAAATTCCCTCTCCTCTTTTGTTAGGTCTGTTTCTTTTCTACAATTTGTATCCTTCTATCAATACATTCCAATCATGAGTTTTGTCCCATCAAGTTTCTATAATGTCAACTACATTATACCTATCCTCGTGTACTAGTACTTCAAGTTCACCGTTTGTTCCCTAAACTTTGAGGATTAGTGTAGGCATCACAAATGGAACACACAGCTAGAGGGATTTAAATTATTTTAAAAAAACCAGACCAAATAAAAGAGGAGGTGGAGTTGCTCTCTATATAAGAAATAACTACATCTCAACAGAAATAGAATACAACAATGATGAAAACTATCTCAAATGCATTTGGGTCAATATAAAAGGAGGAAAAATGACATTGCCTTAGGTGTATTCTGTAGGCTATACAGAGGAAACCAAACAGAGAAAATAGATGAACTTTTTGCTAGTCAGCTAACTAAGCTAGACCAGGGGTCTGCAACTTTGACAACTTTAAGACTTGTGAATTTCAGCTCCCAGAATTCCTCAGCCAGCATAGTTGTCAAGGTTGCAGACCCCCTGGTCTAGACCAAATAACGCTTCAGGCTCAGTCTTCCATCAGCAGAATCCCACTTTCATGATCTTACCAATTTTGATCAGGCTTAATTCAACAATGGAAGAGTTTCTAGTGTACTTGAAAAGTTATTTAAAATTCAGAGTAATATTCAGAGATGTATCTGCCTTGAAAGTAGCTGATGTTGAATTGTATAGCACAGTAAAGCATCAGGATTTGACCACAGAAAATGTTTTCTAACATTTTATATTATGTCATAAAATGCTTTATGATTTTTGTCATGTTCTATACAATTTGACAGATTTCAACTCCACAGAAATCATGGGTCCTGGATTTTGGGCACATTCTGTAAATAATCCCATTTCAGGTACCTTGGTTGAAAATGTTTTGCCCTATGATGCACCATTTCATTCAGACATGTTTTCCTAGTATACTAGATAACCATGACCTGTTGGGTCATTTCAGAGATATTTCCTTATCTTATCAAAACAGAATGACTCAGGGCAAAAAAAGCAGAGGGAATGTAAGCATCTTCCTGTTGGCTTGACCATGAGTGGCTGCACTTCAGTAGCTGATGGTAAGGTTGGTCTACCTGGTCTCCAGAAGACTAGGATGGGATCGGTCTAGTGAACCTCTGGATGGTAGCATAGCAACACTAAAGTGACCAGAAATTTGGCAAGTTTAATGTCACATGAGTCATAGGTTTGGAATTTGGACACATTCTGTTAGTCCATTTGAGACATTTTGGTTCAAAAATTGTTGTCCTATGATGCACTCTTTTGCCCAGTTACAGATTACAGACATGAGAGGTTTAGTAGTATATAAACAGGTCACGGTTGTTCTGGGCAGCTCTGGAAGGAAATATCAAAGTACAGAAATATTTGTCTCTACGTTTATCTGATAATGAGGGTTTTTTAAAAAAAAAATTCCTTGTTACAAAACCTCTATGGAAAGCTTTATTGTATATTGCTTGTTTGTAAGTTACAGTATTTCATTAAACAAGCAAAGTTGGTTATCTTCTAAAGAATAACTGGAACTTGTAGCTGTTTACTTATTTTAAAGTAAAAAAGTATATTCATTTCTCTACAGTTCACTGGCAGGAGTAAAGCCTTGAGCTATGCATAAAAATAATAAAGGTGGGATATAAAGTCGTTATATGAGGGAGAGTGGCAGTCTCTAAATATAAAAAAATAATGGATGTTTGTTGGCAACCAAAGATGATCACTGTTTATTTTATCAATCCATGATTTGATTTCTATTCTGTTCAGAAAAGCAGTAATTAAAACATTGTTTAGAAAGTTTCATTTTAGTTAGCAATACAAGTAGTCCTTAACTTACAACTACAATTGAGCCCAAAATTTCTGTTAAGTGGGACATTTGATAAGTGAATTTTGCCCTATTTTACGAGCTTTCTTGCCACAGTTGTTAAGTGAATCAATGCAGCTGATAAGTTAGTAACCTGGTTGTTAAGTGAATATGGTTTCCCCATTGACTTTGCTTGTCATAAAGTCGCAAAAGATGATCACATCATCTTGGGACACAGCAAGTCAAAAATATGAACCAGTTGCCAAGCATCTGAATTTTGATCACATGATCACGGGGATACTGCAAAGGTCTTAACTTAGAATAACGGTCATAAATCACATTTTTCAGTGCTGTTGTAATGCTGAATGGTCATTAAACTAACTGTTGTAAGTTGTGGACTACCTGTACTTAGTTTAAGTCCCAGTGATTTCAGGAACACTCTCTTAACAACAATCCAGAAGTCGTTTGCTACTGTCGTCTTCCAGCCTATGATAATATCACAAACAATACTGATTTATCTTACGTTCCAATCCTGCAAAGGTTCAGATTTTCAAGGTTAGCCAAGAGGTCCTCAGGCCTACCCACCCAGCTTTTTAGTCAGCTGGCATTGTGGGGGGGGGAGTACGCAAAGTGCACACTGAAGCCCTCTCCCAAGGGTCTGTGACAATTCGCCACAGCCAACTTGCCATGGAACAAGAGTTACACTAATATTGAAGAAATACAGGCAGTCCTCGACTTACAATGGCAGTGAAAAAAGTGACTTATGACCATTTTTCACACTTAGGACTGTTGCAGTCATCACGTGATTTACATTCAGATGCTTGACAACTGACTCCCATTTATAACGGTTGTAGCATCCCCAGGGTCACGTGATCACCTTTTGCAACCTTTTGACAAGCAAAATCAGTGGGGAAGCCAGATTCACTTAACAACCGTGTTACTAATTCATCAACTGAAGCAGTTCACTTAACAACCGTGGCAAGAAAAGTCATAAAATGGGGCAAAACTCACTTTAACAAATGTTTCACTTAACAACAGAAATTTTGGGCTCAATTGTGGTCATACGTCGAGGACTACCTGTAGTGCAGTGTTTCTCAACCTTGACCATTTTAAGGCATGTGGACTTCAACTCCCAGAATTCCACAGCCAGCAATGCTGGCTGTGGAATTCTGGGAGTTGAAGTCCACATGCCTTAAAATGGTCAAGGTTGAGAAACACTGCTGTAGTGGAATAGTATCGTGAAAGAAAGGATGCCAAAGGAATGACAAAATGAAATGTGAATGACAAAAATTAAAATAATTTTAACTATTTTAAATAATTTCGTTAAATTATTGAATTGTCCCGCAGCGAGTTGTCCCATTTCGTTCTCCCAAGCTGAGCTCGACCGCTGGAGACGTCACGGAGGCATCCTTCGCCTGAGAACGACCGGCTATTGCCCCCTTTCCGGAACTTGTCAAGGTCAGCTACCCCCCGGGGGTTTTCTGCTGCTCTTCCCCCAACAGCAATCGATCTAACCACGGTGCCAACACTTAAGATAAGCCACGGCTTTTAGACAAACCGACATCCCCCCCTCGCCGTCTGTCTTCCCCTCGCCCCTTCGCCCCTCCCAACCACCCATCAATGTTCTCAAGCCAGCGCAGCACAGCTGACGCAACGCAGCACAGCGACGCCTCCAGCGTTCGTCCTGCGTCCTCCAAGCTCTCTTAGCAACGGGACGGCTCTTGTATCACGTGCGGGGGTGGGTGGGGGAGTCCGAGGGACGCCCTCCAATCCGCAGCGGACAAATCAGCTGCAGGGGCCTGCGCGTGTGCCTGGCTCGCTCGTTATCTCCGCGACGTGAGGCCGCGCGCAAGAGCTCCGCCCCCCGGGGGGGAGCGAAAACTTGTCTTGTTACTGGTGCTAAGAGCGCCTGCGTGGCCGTCTCTGTTTCCGCCGGTCTGGCAGTGGCGGCGGCGGCGGCGGGGAAAGCAACAGTAGCAGCAGCAGCAGCAGCAGCAGCAGCGGGAGGAGGAGTGGTAGTGTTTGGAAGGGCAGCGAACCCGGCGAAGACCCAAACTAGGGGCGTGGAGGGATGTGCGAACCTAGCAAGCAAGATTTGGTGACTGTTTTCAAGCGGCTCCGCGCCATTCCCACGAACAAGGTACGTAGGAAGCTAGCGCAAGCTTCCGAGTGACACGTTGCAAGACGGCGAGAGGCGGAGTTCGTGCGCGTGCGGTTTTGTGTGGGGCCGGGAAGCCAAGCGTGTTTACCTTGAGAGGGAAGGGAGGGAGGGAGGATGGGAGACCACCAGGAAACCTGCAGATTGGAGATTGCTGAGAGAGAGATCCCTGAAGAAGGCAGATTGTTCCCAGAGGATTGATTGCCTAGATGGATTCATCAATTTACAGGATTCCTGCTCTACTGGAAAAAAAAGTTTATAAATAGGATTTGTTAATATTTGGATGGGGCTGTAGGGAATTCTGGACTTGGAAATCGAAAAAAAAAACATCTGGGAAGACAGTGGCTAATCACTTCTCTAGCACTATAATGAGAACGATAGGGATGTATCCACAAAACCATCAGTATCATTAGATTACTTTTCTACAAATAACGATACAGGTTTGGATGTTGACTTTGGGAGAGGCAAGTCCCCATTCAGATAGGTCTTCCAGAAGACTTTAAGCCAGTCCATGTCTCCGCACCTTGCAAGGTGGCTGTATGAAAACATTAGTGCCAGCCCCACATGTCCTCCAAGAGAAAAGCGCCTTGTATAATAATACTGAGACTCGGATCATGCCTGTTAATTTCAGCTGCATCTAAAGGGAATTTTGTCTCAGCTGTATGAAAAAAAATATTTCAATAAAATCACAGTAGCAAACTGGCCCAAGTCAGTCTGCTTCTGCACGAGAGTGGATATGAACCCAGATCTCTACTTCTAGAAGAAGACTTGACTATTGTGTCACAATGGTTTCCCCATAATTACTAAATCTTCCAGACCCAATTTACACACACCAGTAGGTAATTAAAAGAACCCAGAGACTTCCTGGCGTAGATGTCTTTATTTTCTCACTCAGGACTGTTGCACTTAAACTCCAATCCTGTTAATTTGTGGCCCCAGTGTATATTGTGAGAAGCTTCCATCATTTAATCGTCTCACATTCTGATGCGTATTCATTTGCAAGGAATCACTTAATATAATAATATACTCATGAGAACATGCTGCTTTTCTGATCTTTCTCTGGCTTGAAGATGTAATATTAATTCAAGGCAAGAACATTTTAATGATTTTTGTTGGTGGTGGTACTATGGGAGAATGCTTTACAACATATTTAAATCTTTATTAGCCACATCATTGAGTAATGTTAAATTTCACTTGCTCCATGTTGGAATCCAAGTTCAAAGTTCCTTTCTTTGTCAATATGTTTAAATCACTGTGTGGAATGTACTCTTTAATTTTAAGCTGGAATTTGATGAGTTGACTGAAAATGGCTTTTCAGTGTATGAATGTCAAAAGAAATAACTCTTTTTGCAATGCAAACTTCAGTGCCAGTTTATCTTAAGGTATTTCTGTTTGCTTCTGAATATTTAAATATAAATTATTTTTATTAGGTTATTAAATATCAAGTATTCCATCCCCTTGTATTCTGTGAAAATAACTTCGAAACAATATGCTCATTTTGGGTGTGTTTCAGAATTTTTTCCACTAATTAATCAAGGAACTTAATGCTGTATATACAGTAAATCAAGTTTACAAAAATGTAAACATGCTTGTTAATGGGAGATTCTTTGATTAGGTTCTTTAAATAGTATCTTATATAAAAGTAGTGTCTTCTTAAAATCAAATGCAGTTCCCAGTGATTCTATAACATGTGGTTATCTAGGTCAAGTACAAAAATGATCCAGCACTGTTTCAAGAATTATTTTAACTTCCCACTAGCTTATAACCTTGAGATCTGTGATGGTCTTGCATCCAGGGCTAATCAGGCTTACCCTGCTTTGCTTTTGAAATAATCCAAGACTGTAAAGTCTTCCTATTCTGTGCCATTTTAATGTTGGTTGAAACATATGTTCATATGCAATTGTTGGAAAGTAAGAATAGCTTAACATGATGCAGCAGTGTATCTTGAGGGATGTCTACTTGAGGGATCTATCATCCCACTGGGATTGGCCTGTACCATGTTGTGAGTCCCTTCAGCTCGATTATTCCAGCTGGTGGGGTCCAGGAGGAGGCCCTTCTCTGCTGTTGCTTCTGCCCTCTGCAACATCTTGCCCCCCCCCCGTATAAGTTTGGCCCCAACCTTTATATATTTTTGTAAGGGTCTAAAGACATGGCTGTGCCAATCAGCTTGGGGCCTCAGTGGGTGATCAGTGCAATGGAAATGAGTACTAACAGATTCCCCCCTCCCTTGACCCTCCCATGTGTCCTTGGCTGTAATGCTTGATTTTAACATTTTATGTTTTAACTAAGATGTAAGCTGCCCAGAGTTAACCTATAATAAGGTGGACGGCCAATAAATTTTATAAATAAAATAAATCTAAGTCAATATGTTTTACCAAATCATAATCCTATTTTATGTATGTTTCTTAGAAAAATACTGCAATAGTCATTATATCCATTACAGGTTAGCGGAAATTGAATGCTGCTCAAATCATTTTGGGCATAGTTTTCATTTTTCTGACCTGCAACCTAATTATAGAGAAATACATAATTTATTGGAGAAATCTTGCAGTTAATCTGGATGGTTAGTTAACTTCTTGCCATCCCTGCAATTTCAAATCATTGAATAGTTTAGAATTATTTCTCTTGCAAGCAACATACTGATATGTTAGGTTTTGTAAACATTTATGTCTGAGTCTGTATCCATCCATCCATTCATCTATCTGTGCACTCTTAGGAATTTCCAAGAGGTGCAACAACAGAAATACAGGCCACTTGAGTTTTATAGATAACCCTTGTTTCATTAAGTGAAACCGTGACTGTGCTTAACACCTGATTTTAGCTTTCCTTTGCTTTGAGGACCTCTACAGATAGTTGTAAATTTAAAGATTGGTCTTAATGTTACTTTTTCATCACTATCATAGCTGCAAATGATCACTAAACAAGACAATCACTAAACAAGGGCTACCTGTATAGGTTAAAAATATTGTCAATATTGTAAATGTCAGATTTTATTATTTGTTACCGGTACTTCCCTTATCTTGTTGTACACAGAAGCAACCTTGTAGGTAGGTTAATTAGTTGGTTCACTTAATACAGTAAGTGTTTAATGTTGTTTAAAAAATCTTGGTGCACCATGAGTCTTGTAGCATCTTTCCCAACACTCAAAAGCTTCTAGTATTTTAAAATAACTTATTACTTGGAAAAGGTGCCACCAGACTCCCGATTTTATGCCACCATAAACAAACATGGCTTTCCTACAGTGGTCTACAACCAGTTTGTTAAACTTTCTTATCCTTGATTTTAGTTGGACTTAACTAGAGCTTAGTTACTATTATCATTATAGAAATTGAATGAATGAATGAATGAATAAATAACTTTCAGTTGGATCTAAATTCCATTTATTTGATTTGAATTCTTAAAAGTAACATTTCATGAATGTTGTACCTAAGTAGCAGCTAAATTGATGAGTGATATTTGTATTCTATGTGCATTTTGCAGATCATACTTATTTAGGAGACAAAAGTATGCTGAGTAATAACAGTTAAATTGTGGCTGTTTTCTAGTTATGTTTTGACTGTGGAGCAAAAAATCCAAGCTGGGCAAGCATAACATATGGCGTTTTCCTCTGTATTGACTGCTCTGGGACTCATCGCTCACTTGGAGTTCACTTGAGTTTCATTCGGTAAGCAATTCGTTTAGTAATGTCTGTGGTTCGTTGTTTGGGGATATTTTCCCAAGGTTTTGTATCTATATGTACATATGTTTCCTCATCTTGTAGAAAAGAAGCTTCTTGGTTTGAAACTGTCTCTTATTCCTGTTAGCTATCTTTATTGAGCAACGATACTAAATAAATAGAAATAATCTGGCACATCTTCCATGAATGTACACCTTACATGAATTTCAAAATATAGACTATCATATGACAATTTCATTTTCAAGCTAAAGTTTAGTTAATATTTAAACTGATTTTGGTCACTCTGACATATCTGTTTGCATAGTTTTTGTTTGCTCTTAACATATTTGCATGATTTTTTAGCTCTACTAGTATCTAATCTCTATTGCAGCTCTTCAATTTTATCTTAGGGCTTTATGCCTTAACTCCTTTGAATAGTAAGTTGCAGCTCTCTTCATAAATTACAATATCTTCAACTTTAGTGTTGTTCTGCAGATCTGATAAAGAACAATCCTCTACTCATTGTTTCCAAGTACAATTGGTGAAGTTTTATGTTTCAAATATAGCAGTAGCTTTCCCAAGATTTGCTATTTTTGTTTGACAATCCAATCCCTGTAGTCACTTACTCATTGGGCGATAATTCTGCAATTGTCTATTTAGGTTTTAAAATATTTTCTGTAATTTATTGGTTCTGCATCAGGATGAATATTACTTCATTTCTTTCCAGAAAACATATGCCAATAATGCTTTTTGCTTATCTTATCTCTTTCCTGTCTCTTCTTGTCCTGGGACAAGAAGTATTTTCAAAAATCATGCAGCCAGCATTCAGAAGGAGATGCTTGATTCCTTATAAACCTTTTCAGTATTAAGTATTAAAGGTATAATCAACCTGTTCCCCTGCTCAGTTCCGTTTAATTGATTAAATTGTGATGAAAAGATCCGTTTCTTGTCTTGCATCTGGGGTAGTAGAAAAGACTTCGACTTACAACCATTCAAAGTTACAGCAGCACTGAAAAAAGTGACTTGTGATAGTTTTTCACACTTATGACCGTTGCTACATCCCCATGGTCATGGGATCACAATTCGGACGCTTGGCGACTGAGTCATATTTATGATGGTCATAGTGTCATGTGATCACCTTTCATGGCCTTCTGATCAGCAAAGTCAATGGGGAAGCCAGATTCACTTAACAACAGTGTCACTAATTTAACTGCAGTGATTCACTTAACAACTGTGGCAAGAAGGTTCGTTAAATGGCACAAAATTCACTTAACAAATGTCTCACTTAGCAACAGAAATTTTGGGCTCAACTGTGGTCATAAGTCAACGTCTACCAGTATTATAGCTTCCTTCCCAAATCCTTAACCATTCTACACAGAGCTTGATTTCCAGGCTGCTCACCATATGGGCAATCCACTTCTGAACTTGTTTTAATCTGTAACTGTCCTTTTTCAACTATGATGTTCAGTACTGGACCCCGTATTCCAAATAAAATACGGCCAAAGCAAAATGGAGTGGAACCATTTTTTTTCTATGATGTGGAGTTATATTTCTGTTAATACGTGCCACGACAGCAATTGTTTTTAGCAAAAGCATCACACTTCCGATTTAACGTTAAATTTGTGTTGATAAGGATACCCAGAGCCTCTCATTTTTCCTATGAAAGATACAGGACTTTAAAGTCCCTATGTCAAATTCCATTCTACTCATTTCACTCCGTACCTCAAGCCACTCTAGATCTTTTTGGATCTTGTTTCATGGCTTTTATTTATTTAACAAAATGGAATGAAAAAGATGATAGAAAAAAGAAAGAAAAAAGGAGAACAAAATAACCATGGTATAAATTTATTTGTGTATATAATGTTCATTTGCTTTGTTTGTTTGTTTGTTTATTATACCTCCCATCTCACTTAAGTGTCTCTGGACTCTTTTCAAACATCTATATTGCATCTCTACAATAGTTTCAATAAAGAAAAACCATATTTCATTGTAATCATCTATATAATTTCCCTTCCTAATTTTGTATCATCCATCCTCCTTAACCTTCTCACCCAAATCATTGCTAAAAAAATGTTGACCTAAAACACTCAACACTGAGTTCCTTTTAGAGCAGGGGTTCTCAACCTTGGCAACTTTAAGACTTGTGGACTTCAACTCCCAGAATTCCTCAGCCAGCTTTGCTTTCTGAGGAATTCTGGGAGTTGAAGTCTACAAGTCTTAAAGTTGCCAAGGTTGAGAACCCCTGTTTTAGATTGAAGAGTATTCTTACGGTAGGTGTAATCATTCACTCAATTGTGAGTACGTTTAATACCAAGTAGAGCACTTGGCCCATGCTTTACCATTTTATGAAGAAAAATATCATGAGGCATTATCTTGAAAACTTTGTTATACTCCATATGTATTGTCTTTGATATTCTCCTAATCTACTGAACTACCGTAGTAATTCTACCAAAGAAAGCGACGTTGGTCTGACATGAATTGTTGACTCTGGTTAATTACGGCATGCCTATCCAAGTACTCGCTATTATTTGATCATCTGTTTGAGGACCTTGTCCTGTATAGATCTAAGCTGAGAGTTTCCTAGCCCTCCATTTTCTTTCTGTGCAAGGACAGTTGAAAAATTGAAAAGTTAAAAAGTTCTGTCTCATTACAATGAACTACCTTTCTTTTTTCAATGGGTATACATCCTCTTTGGCTTTTGTTTTATTTCTAACATACCCCCCCCCAAGTCCCCTTGTTGCTTTTGGTGCATTTCAAAATATATGCTGCTTTGTTGTTTTTTTAAAAAAGGAGCCATGATGGTACAGTGATTAGAGTGCAGTATTGCAGGCTCATTCTGCAGACTGCTGACTGTCAGCAGTTGGGCAATTCGAGTCTAACCAGGTTCATGATTGACTCAGCCTTCCATCCTTCCAAGGTCGGTAAAATGAGGACCCAGATTGTTGGGGGCAATAGGCTGACTCTGTAAACTGCTTAGAGAGCTCTGTAAAGCACTGTGAAGTAGTATATAAATCTAAGTATTATTGCTATTAAAGGGTACTTCAGAAACTATTTCTATTTTTTGGTTTCAGATCTACAGAATTAGACTCAAACTGGTCATGGTTTCAACTAAGGTGCATGCAAGTTGGAGGCAATGCAAATGCTGTAAGTACATAATAAAACTTGCTTGCTTTTCCCTCCTGGTTTCTAGGAATCAGTAATTATTAACTGTTTTATCAGGGTTCTATGCATGTTATGAGTTACACTTCATGTTTTTGCTATCCTTTAATATAATTACCACATATGCCTTCACAATCTTGAAAACCAAGAAATAAATGAATAAAATAGTTCTGGGTTCTTATTCATTTGTTCCTTTGACTTTCAAGATTGCTACACAGTTCCCTGTTACTAGCTGCTCTAAGCATCTGTTGCATATATATGAAAGGATAGAAAATAAACAAAATGTAACATAAAAATCTTAGTAGGCATAGAATGCTGATACATGAATAGACATTTTAGAAAACAATGGAGTTAAGTTGATCATGATTAAATCTCACTGGGTTAGAAATCTAGCTTTAATCCAAGTGAAACCTGAGATATTTTCAATTACTGAAAAAGTTTTTTTTAATATTATTGAAACATAGTGTTTACTGGCAAACAATGAGTGAAGAATTAATAAGGGTTTGAACCAAATTATGCCAGAAAATGTGGAGAAAAAAACAATGGCCAAACATTGGAAAAAGTCAGTCTGCATACCAGTATTCAAAAAAGAAACAGGGTGTGTAAACTATTGTACAATATTCCCAATTTCACCTGCTAGCCAAACAAATGCATAGGATTGTCCACTGTAGAGTAATACCATATGTGGAAAGGGAGATGCTAGATATTAATGCTGGTTTTAGCAGAAAAACTGAGGAAAAACAGACATTATTGCTGAAGCACACTGGATAATTGAGAAAGTATAAAATACTGAAAACAAATACATACTTCATTGATTATGGAAAGACCTTTAATTGTGTTGATAATATCCAGCTGTGGAATGTGCTTAATAAAATGAAGATCTCATTCTCCTCATGTGGAACCTATACACTGGGCAGGAAGCCACAGTATTGAAAATCAAGGAGCACAGTAAAAAATGGAACTAAAATGAAACATAAAGAAGATCAAATTAAAGACAACAGATTAGCAACAGAATTGATAGTGAAGATGCTGAAATAATGGATAACTCCTGCCATTTGGATCAGCTATCAACATTAACGGAAATAATTACCAGCATGTTTCTGTAGGCCATCATTTAAAATGGCAGCAGTGAATACCCTGGAAAAGATACTCAGATGCTGAGTTGCATCTATACCTACAAAGTTCACAATCATCCAAGCAGCAGTTTTCCCTCTGACATTCTGTGGAAGCAAAAGTTGGATTCTGAAGACAAAGTAAAAAGAGTATTGATTCTTTGAAATGGTCTTGATGAGGTAGACCCCTGAGCTACCAAGGATAGCCAAGAAAATAAAGAATTGGATTATAGAATAAATCAACCCAGAATTCTTACTTGAGACACCAATGACCAGGCTCAAAATTACAGGTAGTCCTCGACTTACAACAGTTTGTTTAGCGATCGTTCGAAGTTACAATGGCAGTGGGAAAAAGTGACTTATGACCATTTTTCACACTTAAGGCCATTGTTGCATTCCCACGGTCGTGTGATCAAAATTCAGATGCTGGGCAACTGACTCATATTTATGACAATTGCAATGTCATATGATCAACTTTTGTGACCTTCTGACAAGCAAAAACAATGGGAAAGCCAGATTTACTTAACATCTGTATTACTAACTTAACTGCAGTGATCCACTTAACAACCGTGCCAAGAAAGGTTGTAAAATGGGGCAAAACTCACTTAATAAATGTCTCACTTAGTAACATAAATTTGGGGCTCAGTTGTAGTCCTATGTCGAGGACTCCCTATATCATACTTTGGATACATTATGCAAACACCCAGCTTTATTGAGAAGTTTATCATGTTGGAAAATATGGAATAAAAAAAGAGAACAACTCATGTCAGGCGCAAGAAACTTGGAACTGGGGCAGAGTTCAAAAGGAGTACGAGTTTATTTTAATACAACCTATACACAAGAATCTGATCTACTCATGGAAAAGGCAAACATGCTGGATAAGAGTCAACATAATTCATGGGGAGGGGGTGGACTTAGGTCTCTTGTGGGAGCATAGTGACTCCAAACTTACGATGCCCTTGACCCTGCCCTTAGGCTCAGCCTTGTTCTTTCCTACATCTAGCAAGAAAATGAATGGACTCAATTTCAGCAGGAATCTGTGCACTGTTGGAACAGCTAAAGAGACCAGCTGAGGACAGATCGTCCTGGAAAAGTCCATTTATTTGGTCATTAAGAATCAATAGCAACTTCATGGCACATAATCAGTTCTCTTGATGTACACAATTGTATTAAGGAATAAGCTTTGATGACAAGCAGTCCTTGGTGAACAACCATTCATTTAGCAACTGAAATTACGGTGGTGGTGAATAAAGAGACTCTATCGCTGCAGCCATCACAGCATCCCTGTGGTCACATTATTGCAATTTGAGCACTTGGCAATCAGGCTTTCAATTACAGTCATCCTCCTTTGGTGACCTAATTGCCATTTGCAACCTTCACTGCTGGCTTTTGATAAGCAAAGTCAATAGGGAAACTGGCAGATCATGCTTGCAATTGCAATTATAACTACTGTTGTAAGTCAGTTAAGAAAAGCAACTAAGAAAAGCAAGATTTTACATTTAGGCAGGAAAAACCAAAGGTCCAAGTACAGATTACATGAAAAAGCAGTAACTGTGAGAGGGACCTTGGAGTCCTAGTGGACGAACACTTAAATATAAGTCAGCGGTGTGCCGCAGAAGCCAAAAAAGCTAATGCAATCCTGGGTTGTATAAACAGGATTTATACAAATAGAATCAAAATCACGTGAAGCATTAGTACGCTTTATAAATCCTTAGTAAGACCAGACCTGGAATATTGCATCCACTTTTGATCACTATATTATAAAAAAAACATGTTCAGACTTTAGAAAAAGTGCAGAGGAGAGCAACTAGGATGATTAAAGACCTGGAGACTAAAACATGAAGAACAGTTGCAGAATTTGGGTATGACTAGTCTAGAGAAAAGACGGACTAGGGATGACATGATAACATTCCAGTATTTGAAGGGCTGCCACAAAGAAGAGGCGGTCAACGTATTTTCCAAAGCACCAGACTGCAAGGAACGATGGAAACTAATCAAGGAGAGAAGCAACCTGGAATTAAGGAGAAATTTCCTAACAGTGAAAACAATCAGTGGAACAGCTTGCCTTCAGAAGTTGTGGGTGCTTCATCACTGGAGGTTTTTAAAAAGACACTGGACAGCCGCTTCTCTCAAATTGTATAGGGTCTCCTGCGTGAGCAGGGGGTTGGACTAGAAGACCTCCAAGGTCCCTTCCAGCTCTATTCTGATTGAGATGCTGAATTTAAGAACTTTCCTTGTGGGTGGGTGCTCCCAACACTAGAGGTTTTTAAGAAGAGATTGGAAAATCATTTGTCTGAAATGGTATAGGGTCTCCTGCTTGAACAGGGGGTTAGACTAGAAGACCTCTGAGATCCCTTCCAACTTTGTTATTTTGTTACTCAGATGTGATCAAGTGCTACTGCACTTTACAAAGATTGCTTAGCGATGGAGTTTTTGGTCCCAATTACCCTTGTTAACAGAGGACTATTAGTATTATTGTTACTGGAGTTGATGTATTTGTTGTATTTTTCTCCTGTTTTCCCTATGGTTGTGCTGAAAGTAAGTCACATTTGTTAAAAAAAAGAGAAAGAGTTCCTCTGTATTCCTATTCTCAGATTTGCAGTGTAAAAAGATATGGTACATAATGGATGATAAGAGGAAAATGGTTACTTTTTCAAAGGCAGGAAAATAGTGGTGAGCAATTTAGTGGCATGTGCTTACAGGCCAGCTGGGATTCAACTTACCATTCTAGAGTTCTTGCGTGGATAAGGAGATTGGACTAGAAGACCTCCAAAGTCCCTTCCATCTCTATTCTGATTGAGATGCTGAATTTAAGAACTTTCCTTGTAGGTTGGTGCTCCAACACTGGGCTTTCAGACTTACATGGCTTTCATTCCTTCAGCCAAATAATGGGATATTACCTGCATTTCTGTTACCAGTAAATAAGCCCATAGTCAAAGTTCCGTGGAAGGGACATGGCAAGTTTTTCTGGTTGACAGAAATAAACAACTATCCTATCATCATAATAAAAATGGATAGAAAGCCTAGAAAAGTAAAGACAGTGAATCTTTCCCTTCATCTTCAGAGCAACGTTGACAAACTCTTACCAAAGACAACGGGTAGGCATGGAATGTTACAAGTACATCAGATGGTTGAAAAAAGCACATTGGAAGAATACCTTCCATGCTTCCAGGGTAGGTAAAATGAGGACCCAGATTGTTGGGGGCAATGTAAATATATATATATATATATATATATACACATATATACATTGCTTACTGGTGTACACCGCTTAGAGAGTGCTTGCACTTAAAGCGGTATATAAGTCTCATAAATAAATACATACATACATACATACATACATACCTGAAGGACAGTGAAGAAGATGCACTAGTACACCAGGAAGGTTTGCTGAATACTGGAGAAACCAAAAGGACTAAATGAAGAACAGAAAAGGATGTGGGAAGATAAAGTATTACATGGCTAGTGCATTAAATACAGGTAAATAACAGGTAGGGCAGATAATAACAAGACCTGGCAGTGGCCAAGAGCAGGAAAGTTGAAGAAAGAAACAGAGAGCCTAATTCTGGCTTCACAAGACCAAGCCTCAAGAACAAATCCCTACAAAGCCAGAATGGAGAAAAAAGCAACAACAGCAAGTGCTGCCTCTGCAGAAAAGCCGAAGAAACAATGGACCACCTGCTTAGCTGTTGCAAGAAGATTGCACAGACTGACTGCAAACAATGGTACGATAAAATAGCAACAATGATGGATTGGAAGATCTGCCAGAAATAACAATTGCCTGCAAGCAAAAACTGGTGGGACCATAAAATAGAGAAAATAATAGAAAATGAAGACGCTCAAGGGCTCCGGGACTTTACACTTCAGACAGACAGACACCAACCAGAAAACCTGCCAGACTTAATCACTGTCTATAAGAAAAACAAAGAAGTCTGGATAGCGGACATGACAGCACCTGGAGGCAGCAGAAAAGAAGAGAGGGAACTGGAAAAGATAACAAAAATCTTAAAATGTTAAAAGGAACTGGCAGACATGATTTCGGAACCATTTAACCATATATTTCAAAAATCCTAGATCACCAGGGAATTATCAGATGACTGGAAAAGAGCTGATGTGGTTCCAATCTTCAAAAAGGAAAAAATGGACCCAGGAAACTAGAAACCAATCAGCCTGATATCAATATCTGGGAAGATCCTGGAAAAGATAACAGCTGATTTGTGAGCACCTAGAAATGAAAAGGCTGATTAATAGAAGTCAGCATAGGTTGTTAAAAGCAGGCCATGCCAAACAAACCTTATTGCTTTCTTTAATAAAATGACTAAATTAAGAAACCAAGGAAATGTGTTGGATATAGTATACTTGGACTTCAGAAAAGCATTTGACCACAGACTACTTTCTTGGTAAGATAAAAAAACATGGTATAGATAGCATCGCCATCAGCTGGATTGGTAACTGGCTGACCAGTGCCATCCAACATGTAGTCCTCAATGGAACTACATGGACATGGAGGGAAGGATGCAGTGGGTTCTGTCTTAGGCCCATTTTCATCAACAGTTGAGATGAAAGGATAAAATGGGAACTCATCAAATTTTGACACCAAGCTGAGGAGAATAGCCAACACTTTAGAACAGGGGTTTTCAAACTTGGCCCTTTTGTGGACTTGTGGACTTCAACTCCCAGAATTCCTCAGCCAGGCAGGCTGGCTGAGGAATTCTGGGAGTTGAAGTCCACAAGTCACAAAAGGGCCAAGTTTGAAGACCCCTGCTTTAGAAGATAGGCTCACAATCCAAAAGGATCTTGACAGACTTGAACACTTGGCTCTATCCAACAAACTGCAGTTCAGTGCTGGGAAAAGTAAGACTTTGCACTTAGGCAAGAAAAACCAAATGCACAGGTATAGAATAGGTGGTACCTGACTCAACAGCAGTAACTGTGAGAGGGAGCCAAGGGGTTGGACTAGAAGACCTCCAAGGTCCCCCCCCAACTCTGCTATTCTGCTATTCTGTATTCTTCAACCTTCCAAAAATGAACTAGTCAGCAATGACATTGTGGATTTGTAATTTTTTTAAAAAAAGCACATCTTCTCGGTATTTTCTTTTTAGTCTGCATTCTTTCATCAGCATGGTTGTGCCACAAATGATACCAACGCCAAGTATAATAGTCGTACTGCACAGCTCTACCGAGACAAGATTAGATCTCTTGCAGCTCAGGCCACACGGAAGTATGGCACAGATGTGAGTAATGTACATATTTTACAGTGCTTGCTGATTTTGTTTTATTCAGTCGTCTTAATGTTTATAAAGCTAAAATGATACGGTATTGGCATCATGGTATTCCTCTAATGTTAAAATGTTGCAGCTAATTTGAAAAGAGAAAGCATGATGCATTTTTAGTATCAGTACTATTCTGTTTAAGCTTTGCTTTTCTGCTTATATAACCAGTTCTTTTGTAGATAAAATATACCATGCTGTTCTTGTTGTATGTCTGGGTTCATACACCTAGTTGGATCCCTACACCTGGTTGGATCCCTATCATTTCAATCAAGTGCAACAATTTTTGCAAATTAAGCAAAGAATCTTGGCGGACTCTCACTTGGGCTTATAATATTGTCTATTTTAGTTATGGATAGATGGCTGCGGAGCCCCTCCTTTATCACCTCAAGAGAAAGAAGAAGACTTCTTTGCATCTCATGGCTCTTCTCGGGTATAAAATGAATAAAACATTTTTTAATTTCATGGGATTTTACCTATATGTGAATGATGGGAGGTAAGCTAGCATGGAGTTATTTGTCCGATTTTGTAATACAAGACTAGAACTAGTGAGTTAAGACTCCAAAGTAGAAGGTTCAAACTAGATGTCAGGGGCAACTTTTTGGCTGTGTAACAATTCACGCTGCCAAATAAAGCAGTAAGAAATCTTCACCAGGAATCTTCAGATATAGGCTGAGTGATCTCTTGTCAGAGATGGTTTAATGCAGGAACCCCTAGGCCGCGCCCCACTATCGGGCCATGGCCTGTTTGAAACCGGGCCGTGTGAGCGATAGGCAAGCGTGTGCGTGCACGAAGCTCCACTCATGTGAATGGTGGGCAAGCATGTGCATGCGAAGCTCTGCTTGTGTGAGTGGTGGGCAAGTGGAGCTGTGCGCTCGCGTGTGCACCTGCCACTCAGTGGATCCTGCACTGAGCAGAGTGTCAGATCTGCCATCACACCACTTCAGCTCTGCTTTAATAGCAGATTGCCATAAAGCATGGGGGGGGGAATGGGGGGACATGGGAAGGGGGGATGACAGGAACCAGAAGTGTTGTCCAGAGATGTTGAAATATCCAAGGACATAGGATGAGAACGGAATGCGAACACTCACCAAAGAGGCGCCAACCCTTAGGACTGTTACCAAAACACCTAATTTGAACCTTATTGGATACTAACAGAATGACCAAGGGGGGAAGGCCTGGGAGAAGGGAAAATTACGGGGTTTATGCAGGAATCTTCAGATCTGACTTTGTTTATGCTGTAACCACTTGGCTTTTAGTAAAAGAATACCTTTCACTACAAATGGAGTAGAGGGTCTGTCTTTCTTAAATGCTGAGGCTGGGACAGGCCTGACACAGAGGTTTGGACTAGATGACTTTTATGATCCTTTCAAACCCTAATATTCTAATTTGATAATTTCTTTCCTGAATTTATGTGTTTATTATTCTGTTTGTCCACCACCTGGATCCTTTCCCAATCTCAATGCTTGATGTACCATTTTCTGGGCTTTCTCTCCTCCCTTCCACATTGGATTCAGTGCAAAGCACCTTCCAAACACACTCTTTTCAGGTCTTGTAAGGTACAATCCATTTCTTACCAGTAGTCTCTCATTTGGAAATCCTGTTATTCAAAAATCCAAACTATTCTCATCGACCACATCTGTAGAGCCAGTTGCCCACCTTCAGTATTTATTCTCTTCTTAGGCCAAGTGTTCACACAAGAAAGAGCGAAGAAACCTCACTTGCTCCTAGATCTTCAACCTCTTGTTGCATCTTAGTCCCCTGTAGTATGTTTATGATGTTATCTTGGCTGTGCTGTTTGTTCCTTTGTGTCTCAATAAATTGAAGATAGAGATACTTCCCAAAGGGGTTAAAGATCTTTAGACACTTTATATCTCTTCCTGAATTAGTGCCCCGGGAAGACAGCACCCTATGTATTAATCACATGCTTCCTCCTCTCCACTCTTTTCATCTGACTACCTTCTGTGTCCTGGAAAGTTCCTTGATGCCATTTTCCCTCTTCAAGGGCTTCCTGTATCTGATCCAAGAGTTCATCATTTTCCCTGATAAAATGGAAGACGGACAGCTTTTGCCTCAGAATCATTGCCTCATCCGTCCTCTTCCAGGAGAGCAATCAGCCTTCACTTATAGCATGTATAAATTCCGTCTGTGGAAGGCAAGCAAACATGACACGTTCTCTGCAGGTCATAAAAGAAATTCTGCTTGTCCTCATGTTCACTTTGTGAGCTTGCTCACTGAAGGTTGGTGGCTTTATTTGTCTCCTGAACCTATCCTAAAATTAGTTCAGCAACAGGAAATATCTGTCACACATTGAGCAATGAGCATGGCTCCAGGAACAGTCAGCAGCCCTTCCACCTTCCAAGCTCTTCTGTTGTCTCCTCTCTCCTTGTCCTCTTTCTTCTCAGTTGAATTCCTGTCAAGCCCTGCTTGATCTCTCTCTTTTCACGTACTATCAGTTTGCTTGTACAAAAATACATCTTCTAGCCTGTAAGATTACTTCTAAAGCCAAAATAATTCTGATCAAATACAAATATATTTAATTTGGATTAGAAGTAATCTTACAGACTAGAAGATGTATTTTTGTACAAGCAAGCTGATAGTAAAATATTTCTCTACTATCACTACCTGGGACCTGAAACTAAAGCTTCCTCATTATTCATATCCAATATGATTTTTCAGCTGTATTTCTGAATGAGATGTCAGAAAAACTTCTTAACATATAATATCATAATATTTTATATACATGAAAATTAATCTTACCTAAATGAATTCTGATGAGCTTAATTCTAATTCTTTGGAATACTGCTAATAACTTGTTGTTTTTTTCTTTATAGGTTGACTGGGAATTATCACAACAGGAAACAATTAATCCACAGGAGAATTCTTCAGAAAATAATTCAGAAAGCAAAGATGGTATGGTTTATCAACTTCATTTCTAAAATGTGTTACAAAATGTAGCAAATATGTGAAAATTCCTAACTCCTGTTGACTCCTTTGCTTTTATAAGTTTATTTGATAAATAGCTTTTATCAATTGTAGTGCTTTTAAAAACATATACAAAACTACTTACACAAAACTTGCTACTTCATAACCCATGCCGGTTATTGTCACAAACTACAAATATGACTGATAAAAATATACTTTAAATTTGCCTATTGTAATCAATTTAGATCCAGATAAATTTTCAACATACTGTAACTGTCTTTAATTCAAAAAGGTAAGAACATAAGTTGAGTGACCGGGAAAGCAGGAAGTCAAGTTCCTGTTTCTGAATGTGAATCAAGGATCTAGAAATGTACTAATCCTTAACATTTATATGTTTGTTGTTTTTTTATATTTCTAGAAGATCCAGAAGATGGACCAAGCGTTGATTACCTTAGTGTATCACCTCAAGCTTCTTTAGGTAAACAATACAAAAGAAAAGATCTCTGAATGTCTAAAGATGTAGTACAGGGATGTCATATTGCAACTTTTTTGCCATTGCTGGCAATGGGATGGGTGCTATGATGCATCTGGCCCATGGGCCTGCAGTTTGATACCCCTGATATAGTAGGATGAACAAAACAGTACAAATCTTACATTATGTTTGCTGACTTGTCAGTGATTTCATAATAAAAATTATCCTAGCCCTCAACATCTAACTATTACTAGAATTTGGAAGACATCATGAGTCAGATTTGCACATTATTACTACACATACATTACTGAGACATGTTTTAGAACACAAGTTTCTTCCAATAGCATCTGGCTTACTTGTAGCTGTGTTTATTTGAGGATGTAATGATTAGCACCATATAATAGAACCACAATTATGGATATACTCTTAGCATTTTTGCAGTTCAGCCGAAATATCTTTCCATTTAGAGTATTCTGGGTCTTCATTCCTGATGTTTGTTTTTCAGTTGACATGTTGCATCCATGTTTAAGCTATATAAAATTTAAAGGAACAAACAGAATAAAACCTCCTTTCGGAGATCAGAAATATGCTAACTTGTTATAGGCATGCTTCGGCAACATGGAGAAATTTAAATTGTTCCTTCCTTCATTTTGAAATGATACAACTCCCAAACATTTGGAACCATATGCTATTTCTTGGGGTGTGGGTGAGGAGGTTGGTAAATTGGCTCTAGAATCAATGCAGCTGCATTCTTGTATAAATGCATATGTTTGTTTAGTTAGTGATACATATTTTTTATCTCTTATTTTAGCCAACATGGAGAAGGTTAATACTTCAGGCACGGCACCTAACAAAGGTGACTGGATGTTTTAGTTATCCTGTTTTGCTGCTTCAATTTCCACGTACTTCTGTGGAATAGAGCGTTATATTAATTTCCTTAGTTTGTATCATCAGTTCCAGCAAATATATCTACATGCTTCTAGCTTCTTTTTTTATTTTCTCTTGCTTCTGAACCTACATTTTTCCTGTTTTTCTTGATGTAACTAAAAAGCAATGAAATTTATTTGGTCGCCCCATGTTTAACATGTTACATCTTTGAGGTGGCTTTCATATGGAGATCCAAAACCAATTTGCATGCAGGTGATTAGACAGATGATGAATGCTCTGTTATCTGTTTTATTGTGTTGATAATCTATTTGTTACATTTTCTGAACAATTCATTGCTTGTAGGCCATTCAGGTTACTGGTCTTTGACTTAAGAAAGAATTCTAATCTGTTCCGTTATGTCTCCTGCCCCTGAAGGAAGTTATTAGGAGCTAGAAGTGACACCATAATTTTTTCTCACTCTGTTTACATAGAACAAAGCACTACATGTTCAGTGCTTTTTAATTTTTTTGGCTTTCAGCAGCTTAGAGTGGCATACAGAATCTAATTCTTAATCTAATCCATTTACTGGGTCAGCAATAGTAGTTGTGGATAACATTAACAGTTAAATCTTGTAGCAAAAGTGGGTTTATTTGGTGAGAAATGGCATAATTTCATTTAAGTTTATTTTGGCAATAAATGTGTACAATATTAAAACTTTTTGCAGCTACCTCAAAATATTCAGGGTTCCCATATTGAGATTCCCATAGTTCTCTTTTGTGAGATGTTTTCCTGATAGAGTTGCATACAGTATTAGATATAGGGAAGTACTATGTTCTGCTTTCATTTATTTGGAGGACTGTTCGTAAACAGTTAAAACTGTAGTATACTAAATTGATCCTGTTTAGAGGTACAACACTTCATGATTATTTACAGAATCACAACCTGGTTTTGTATAAGGGTTTTATCTTTTCTATGTATTAATTATCTCTTTTTCCTTCCTTTTACTTTTATCAACTGCCTTCACTCCCTTGGTTCTCTTAGCTTCCCCCCCCCCCAGTTTCTCATATAAAATTAACTGGTTACTCTAGAGTTGCATTCTACTAGTTCAGCAATCCATTCTTTTTATCACATCCCCAACTGTTCTATTATCATTTCTACTTATCATCCTCAATAAAATGATGATCAGCTACAAATGCTGATCTGGTAGTAATACTTCATTCTCATATTTGCTAAATACATATTTTGCTTGTTATAATATTAATATGTACCCTTTAGTCTTAATGCCATTGTTAATAAATTTTCCTTTGAAAAACAAGAGGTATCTATTTTAGCCTGCATAGTTACATAAAAATTAATACCCCTGCCCTCACTGCTATGTGGTACAGGAATTACTTATAAAGGCTGACATTTCCTAATCAAGCTCAGTGCCTGGGGACTGCATCTATCTAATTTTCTTGGCAAGGCTACCAATTCAGCTTGTCTCCTTCCAGATTTGTTTGTTCATTTGAAATGGGGGGTTCTGAGTCTCATCCATATTCCTGCGGTTTCTTGGTGTCCTGGGGTTTCTTGGTGTTTCTTGGAGATCACTAAGGACTAGCTAGGCATTGCCATCTTTCGAAGCACCATTATAACAAGGCTCACCTCCAAGGTTTATGATATTAATCCATGTAGGCCTTATGAAGATAAGTTGTTGGTGAGATTTACCATCCTGGAAGAAAGGCTGTTGGGACAGATTTCTAATTCTGAAAAACTGCATTTTTATTTAATGTGTCAGTGGGTAAACTGTTGAGGAACTTAATTGATTTACTTGTATACAAATATTCAGTTATTTTATTCAACTTAAAATGTCATCTTATTTTCCCTTAAGAAAAACTGTTATATAGACATTCTTGAGAAACATATATCCCTTTTTATACTAAATTCTTTTCTTGAAAAATAGAGAACTTTGGAAATGCATTGATTTATAAGCAGGTGCCTAGGATTCCCTTTCTCTAGTTGACTGTATTTTATTTCTAAATGTTGAAAACAAATTCCATACTATATTGTATTGCTTTTCCTAATTCTTTAAGTTAAATGGGCAATTCTGTTTTTTTATACTTTTGCAGATATTACAGTTAATGCTAATTTCATCATGTTACAATGCATATAATTCATAAGCTGTGTATTGTTTTTACAGAAGTCAGTTGTATGATGAAGAAGAAACCAAATCAAGTAAAAAAGGGAGTAAGTGTTTAGACTGATATTTTCAAGTCTCTCTTTTAATGGTCTGCTGAGGAGATTCATCCTCTTTTTTATGTAATTGTGAAAGTTACTATGTAAAGCAGGGGTCTTCAAACTTGGCCCTTTTAAGACTTATGGACTTCAACTGTCAGAATTCCTCAGCCAGGCACGCTGACTGAGGAATTCTGGCAGTTGAAGTCCAGAAGTCATAAAAGGGCCAAGTTTGAAGACCCCTGATATAAAGAGTTGTATAGCTCTGAATTAATCAAATTAGTTTTTGTAGCCAGCTCTATATGCAGATCATCCTCTCCTAAAAAGTGACATCCTGTTATTAATTGGTTGAAAGGGGGGAGAAAAGACTGGGAATTGTGGAATTTATACCCACAGCTTGTAAAATTGCCCCATAGAGCCTCCATTACAATAGTATGGAGACAAATTATGAAAAGTGAGTGATGATGGCATAATGCAAATATAATAACTTACATCAGTCAGGTATCAAGAAACAGCTGTTAAACAAGTAATGAGGGAGGGCACCATGTACCTGTTGTTGCATTGGACTCATTATGGCTTGCTGCAGATGCCATTGTACTGGGTTATGCATCCATTTAGAAATATATTTGCCAATCTTATTTCCATGCTATAGTAGTAATTTGATGAGCTATTTTCTTTATTCCATGCATGCCTAGTCTGCTGTTCTATATGATAACTTAGAAGTAAGCTATATTTCACATGATGTATATCTAGTCCAGGGGTAGGCAACCTTGGCTCTTTTATGACTCGTGGACTTCAATTCCCAGAATTCCTGAGCCAGCTTGGCTGGCTCAGGAATTCTGGGAATTGAAGTCCACGTGTCATAAAAGAGCCAAGGTTGCCTACCCCTGATCTATTCATACAAGAAGGTGCAGTTAGAATGCATTTTTGTATTCATCATACAAAATTGCTTTACCAAATTTGACATCTGAATTGTTCATTAACTGCTTTCAAAGGAAAATTGGAACCTTTTTTTTTATACTGTGGTAACTACTAATTGTAGATTTGCCTCATCCCGCAATCAAAATATAATAGTGGCAAATTGCTCACAAATTACAGCTCACAAATTAGGAGCTGTAAGGCTGCCCTAGGAACTGTAAAGGATCGTGAATGCAGAAGCTAGGGCCTTGCTTGTATGGCTTCCCTTGCCTTTACTAGAGCTGTTTCCTTTCCATTTTGTTCTTAAAGAAGGAAAACCTAAACTAACTTGCATTCTTATATTGTGATAACTTTTTCATTTTTTTCTTTCACGTCCAAATTAAAGATTGGAGCTAAGAAATGTGGTTTGGGGGCCCAGAAAATGAGCAGCAAGAGTTTTAACGAGATAGAAAAACAAGCACTGGCGGTAGATAAAATGAAGGAAGCTGGCACAACAACAGAGAAGGAAGAACCGTTGTAAGTAGAGTTTGTTTGGCATCTGTTAGATTCTCTCTTTACAGACTTACATGGGTATTTGAAGTGGCAAATGTGTGAATGCCCTCTGATACAAGGTATTTTAGGGATGATACCTATTTTACTTTGGTATAGGCCAAGGGTAGGCAACCTTGGCTCTTTTATGACTCGTGGACTTCAACTCCCAGAATTCCTGAGCCAGCCACGCTGAGGGGAAAGGGAGAGGTTTCCAAGCTGAGCCATGGTGGCTCAGGAATTCTGGGAGTTGAAGTCCATTAGTCAAAAAAGAGCCAAGGTTGCCTACCCCTGATATAGGCCCTGGAACTAAGGCAGCACGATGACTCAACAGTTAAGATGGTGGACTTTAGGCTGGAAAGCCAACAGCCCGGGTTCAAGACCCGAGTGTCATGCATGTGTGTTTGTGTGAACACCCATTTTCGCCTAGCTCCTGCCCACCTAGCAGTTTGAAAGCATACAAAGGCAAGTAAATAAATAGATACCACTTTGGTGCGGAGGAAACGGTGCTCCATGACATCATGCTGGCCACAGGGCCATGGAAATGTCTTTGGACAGTGCTGACTCGTGGCCTCAAAGCAGAGATGAATGTCGCCCCCTATAGTCAGCAACGACTAGCGCAGGGGTTCTCAACCTTGGCAACTTTAAGACTTGTGGACTTCAACTCCCAGAATTCCTCAGAAAGCAAAGCTGGCTGAGGAATTCTGGGAGTTGAAGTCCACAAGTCTTAAAGTTGCCAAGGTTGAGAACCCCTGGACTAGCGGAATAAAATCCACAGAGGTTCCTTTCCTTCCTGGAACTAAATAATAGTATATCATTATTTTCAAAAACTGATCCAACACCTTAGAACTTAATAGGCTGTTTTTACCACATACCACATATGTGTGTATTTCTGAATAAATCTGAATTTACATCATAAGTAGTTGAGACTTAAGAGAATTATAATAAAATCCCATTAAAAACATGAATATGCTTTAACTATTTTAGATTTCAAGGAGAAAATGGAGAAAATGTTTACATTGTGTATTACTTGTTTCAATAAATTCAACATTATGCTATTATCTTCCTAGATATACTTTTCTACTACTTTCATGGATAGAATAGGCATTGTATTAAATAAATAGAGCTGCCATTTGGAAATATTCCTCTAAATAGCACACACTTTTCTTGATCAATTATGGAAATGTTTATCCAGGTTTAATGGCTACAAAAATTTACCGCGCTGTCAAAATGGGATGCCAAACTATTCTTAATGACTTCACTTTTCTTCTTTATTACATTGATTAAATGCTTGTATTGCAGTTCACTGAAATTCTTCTAAAAGTAGGTTAAAAAAATTATTGCATCTTTCTTTGAAGAACTATGTTCTGATATTTTTGATTTTGTTAATGCTGTCAGACAGAAATAACAGTAAGTGTGATTTTTGTCTTGTAAATGAAAACTCAAAGAATATTTATTGAAAGCTTTTGCAGCATATTTGCATGGCTTTCAAGATAGGAATTAATACCACAGAACTTCATAATTGATTTCTTCAGATAGCTGTTCATTTGTCTAACTGTAATCCATTAGTTTCCATTTACTTGTTATCTCTTTAATATCTGTTTAGTAAAGTATCTGGTAAACTAAGATACTTTCCTATTAGATCATTTTTGTACATCTTCATTTCTATTCTGCACCATTACAAAGGATTCATTAAATATACCAGGAGTAAATGCAAAACTAGTAATTTATTATGAAAATCAAATAGAATAATTGCTTCATATTAATTTCCTAATATGTGCATTCATACATTGCACTATCCAACTATTATGGTTTGTGTAGAGTTCTATTTGTGTAGAGTTTGTAACTTGCAGCAGCTGTCCTCATTTTGAAGAAGCTCCAATACTAAGAAACATTCAGGATTTTTTTTCCCCCAGTGTGTCTTCTAAATTGACAGTTTATTTTACTTATTGAGAGGAGCAATAATATTGGGGGGGGGTTGTTAGTAGGGATTAATCTAGATGACCCTTAAGTTCATTATGTATATTCCTTCTACCTGAACTGTTAAGAAAAAGAAGTTCATCTCCATTTTAGATTATCCAAGTTTAGAGAATATCTAAATTAGGATAAACTATTACTCTTAACTATGATTAGTAGAAGCAAGCAAGTGTAAAACTACAGTTTATAAAAAGTTAGCTTGTTTCAACTAACCATAGTTAGATGCAGGCACAATAAACTCTAATGACTGACATGTAAAACAATTGTTTCCAGTTTTTTCTTCACAATCCTCCTGGAAAAGGTAGGACTTATATCATAAACAGTGCATGGGGGTGGCAAGTCATGCCCATCTTTTCCTACTGTAGTGTCATGCATTTTGATCATCAGCAGATCGCTGTCCTGTCACTGGCTCCTGCAGTGTGCTTTGCAGGAGGGTGAAAAGCCAGCTAAACATTATTCTCTTAAGAGGAATGTTGCTTGCAGTTAATACCTATATCCATATTCGTAGGTCTGCGAGTAAATAATTTCTCTCCATTTGTTTTTACAGTAGCTGTCCAATCTGTAAATGATATGGTAGGGCCAGTCTTTCTCAAATGCATTTTTCATTGTTCCTGACCAGCATTGCCAAAAAGAAAAGAGATTTGCGGGTAATGAGGCTCTCTGAGCTTGGTTGTTTGCTTGCATGTGCTTCATTACCCAACTAGATAACATCATCAGTGCTAGTGAGGGTGGGGTTTGCTCCCTGTTTACATACAGAAGCTTGCCCTGCCAGTGTTGAAGGAGGTATGGTTCACTCCTTGGTACTTCCTTGATTAAACTGTTGTTTACTGCTTTATTGTTTGTCTGGTATCTCTCTATCTCTGTACTTCTTTGTCTGTCTGTCTGTCTGTCTGTACTTCTTTGTCTGTCTGTCTGTCTCTGTCTGTCTGTCTATCTATCTATCTATCTATCTATCTATCTATCTACACATACATACACACACACATACATACATACATAGATACATACACACATTTATCTCTGTGTAAGAGACAGTTTGGTCAGATGGCTAAGGCACTGGACTAGAAAGAGGGAGATAAGTGAGTTCAAGTCCGGCCTTAACCATGAAAGCCAACTGGATGACTGTGCAAATCTCCCTCAGTCCAACCCACCTTACAGAGTTGTGGGGAAAATAGGAGGAGGAAGGTATCTTGGATATGTTTATTGCCTTGAGTTGTTTGTAAATATAGTAAAGGCAGGATACAAATAAATAAAAATAAAAATATCTCTCTATATATTTAAACATGTAGATGTGTTTATCTTTTTTAGGTTTATAGAGATAAAAATGTGGTTTATCTTCTAGGTTTATTGAGATAAAATGTACACACCAGTCAAAAGAGACAATAAAAACCAAGAAAGAAACAAAAAGACCAGAATACATCCTTCTCAGCAACCAGCACCCAGATAAGCAAGGGTTAACGCCAAGCTTAGAGAGCACCAAGGACTCCACAGTTCTACCTACCTACCTTCTCTTCTGTTTGAGAAAAGTGAATTGGCAGCCATAACGTGAATACCACTTCAAGAAAAACTGCTTTTGTTGTGCAGTATTACAACAATAGCCACAACTTTTCCTGATTGACTTTTGTTCTCTAGATGTGTCCTATTTCCTGCAGTTTGAGTTCAGAAACTCTTTTTCTTATTGCAGCTTTAAATCTCAGATTCTGTTTTTCACCATAACTCTTGTTTCTTCTTGATCCTGTGGCACTTTTCAATTATGTTTTTCCATTGTTGTGCTCCTTATTACTCCTTTACCACTAATCCTTTAGAAGCAAAATAATATAAACATCCGTTACAAAGTCTGTATAAATTTGAATCCTCCTATAAAGGTAGAACTCTTTTGATTTTAGCAATATAAGAAAAAGAATTTTACTCAGTTAAGTCATAAACTTCTGGTTTATGCACTGAAAAATATTACTTCATTTATACTACTGTGAGGAAACTTTTCTGGCATTCACTCAAGACATATCAGTTATCTGTGGGCTTTTCTTTTTAGGGTATCATCTTTACGACTGGCCTATAAAGATCTTGAAATTCAGATGAGGGATGAAAAATTAAATATGGCTGGTAAAAAGAAAACAGAGATAGAAAGACTTGGCATGGGATTCAGTAATAGTAGACGGTATGTATTTGATTCAGAGCATTCGCTTTTCATTGGACATCTCTTCATACAGGGAGTCCTCAACTTACCACAACTGAGCCCAAACTTTTTGTTGCTAAGTGAGACATTTGTTAAGTGAATTTTGCCCCATTTTATGACCTTTCTGGCCACAATTGTTAAGTGAATCACTGCAGTTGATAAAGTTAGTAACCTGGTTGTTAAGTGAATTTGGCTTCACCATTGACTTTGCTTGTCAGAAGGTTGCAAAAGGTGATCACATGACTGTGAGACAGCAGGACACTGCAACATAAATACGACTCAGTTTCCAAGTGTCTTAATTTTGATCACGTCACCCTGGGGATGCTGCAATGGTCGTAAGTTTGAAAAACGGCCATAAGTCACTTTTTTTCCAGTGCCGTTGTAACTTCAAACAGTCATTAAATGAACTGTTGTAAGTCAACGACTACCTGGGTTGGGTCTGTCCTGACAGAAGCTGCTTGATATCAATCATTCAAATATTTTATTATGCATATTCAGAATTGCTCCATAACAAGTTTTGAATCCAGAGACAGCTAGCCAAATGGTTCAATTGCTCAAATATGTTTTATTTTAGTTTAACTTAATAGATGTATGGCTCGCCTTTCACTCTAGATTCTTTTTCCCAAAGCAATCCTTGGAGGCACATTGGGCAGAGAAAGTGATTAGCCTGGGAATCTAGATCCTGTGTCTCATTCCTCCCAACCTGTTCAGGATTTCTCTAAAGAGGCTCGGTGGCTTAATGACACCGGAAATGGTTTTTGCTCCAGCAGTGAGTTCCCGTCACTTGTCTCAGTTTCTGCCCACCTAACAGTTCAAAAGCATGTTCTGTACAAGTAGATAAATAGGTACCACTTCACTGGGAAGACTTTGGGGTTGTTTCACTGGTTAGAATTCTGTTAGGGCTAGCCCTGGGGTCTTCAGACTCGGCCCTTTAATGACTCATGGACTTCAACTCCCAGAATTCCTCAGCCAGTGTGTCTGGCCTAGGAATTCTGGGAGTTGAAGTCCATGAGTCATAAAAGGGCCGAGTTTGAAGACCCCTGGGCTAGACCTTCCTGGTTGTGACGCCTGTTTTCAAGGCTCTTTTGGCAGAGGGAGAAGTGCTCAGATGCTGCTGCAGGAAAGCTGCTCCTTTTTCTTTCTGGTGTGGAGCTAGCTCGCGAGTATGGACCAAACAGGCTAGTAGTCTTAGGCAGCCAAACTACTACTCTGTATTAACATTGTAGTCTCCTGGCTAATGTGGCATTGCCATATGTTAAATAAACAATCAAACAAAAACATAAATTAGTATTACTGGGCCAAAGTCCCCAAGGGAGCTTTCATTGCTGAAGAAGGTCTAAAACAGGTGTCAAACTGCCGGCCCACGGGCCAGATGCATCATAGCAAAACCGCACCTACCTCATTGCCGGCAATGGCAAAAAAGTCGCGATACGTCGCAACACATCACGTGACATTGCGAGTTTGACACCCTTGGTCTAGAATCTGTGTCTCCTCCTAGTCTAGCACCTTTACCCCTGGACTGCACTGGCTCTTGAGCTGAGAGGAAAGGAGCTGGCCTAGAGTCCCCCAGGAAGCTTTCATGGCTGAGGGGGGCACTGGAACCTGGGTCTCCGTACTCCAAGTCCAGCACCCTCACCTCTAAAGGCAGCCCCTTCAGGGTGAGTTGAGGGCTCCCCCCTCTGTCTAAACTTCTTGTCAGGCATCAGAATTTAAAACAGTGCCCCCCAAAAGAGGTCCTTTTAAGGATGCTTTGAGATTATTGTTACAGAGTAAGATAGGACTTTATGGCAATCTTTTTGTGATTAAAGGACACAGTATACAATAAGGCCAAAGAAATAGGAGGGGCACATCATACATGAGGGAAATAAATTGAATATTTTTTCATTGTTTTTTAACCTTGATTGTTAGGTTTACACTATTTTTCGTACTTCAGCAATCACAGTGGGAGTCCTTCAGGTCACCCCAAAAATATGTCACACTGCAGATTGCCCACCCTTAGAAGATTTGAAATGGGATTGTGCTACAAAATTCCTTTGTTATTCTGGATTGTGTTGGCTGCAGTTACAGTGCATTAAGCATCTTTGATTTCAATGTGATTTTGGTTTTTTTCTCTTTTTAAAGATAACATTTTAAACTTCAATTCCCCCCCCCCTCCCCAGTGGTATTTCCCATTCAATAAGTTCAGATATGCAGATCATACAACAAGAAACACCAACAAGCGCAAAACCAAGAAAAAAGTATAATGATGAAGATGATTTGTATTTTTCTTGCCCCAGTTCAAGGTAATCATTTACTTTTAAAATCTTGAAAATAATTGTTAACATACATGTGCGTTCATGACCTCATTTTAAGGTAGATAAATAAAGCTTTTCTTTTCTAATGACACAGAGTTTCAGCAAGTAACACCAATACTGCCTGGACTCTAATATTAAAAAAAAAAATCAAACCTGTTTAAAGAGCTGGGATGGAAGACCACCAGGAAACCTTCAGATTTTAGCCTAGATTGGGAAAATGAACACTTCTAGAAAAAAATACAGCAGGATAGCACCAAGATTCGAGCTTGACTCGAAGTTGTGTTTCCTTTTTCCTGTGTGTACTGGAAATGCTAGGTGCATTTGACACTTTGCTGATCTGTTACTCAGCAGCTGGGTAGAACAATCACTGAAATGGTCCTAGCTCTTTTTGCTGTCTGTCTTTATTAGAGTAGATTTGTTTTCCCTTAACTTCGGATTGGAGAATTTAGGGGAGTTCTGGGCATCAACCTCATTGAAGTAAGCGATGGCCATTTTTTCTCATGCCACCGGGTGAATGCTAAAGGGCAAAAGGGATGTTTTAAGTTCTGCGACATTTAAGATGTCCACTTAAAATATGCCCAAGCAGGAAAATTAGCTTTTTGTTTTGTTTTATTTCAAAGCATGAAAAAAGTTAAGACGCATCCCTTTTGTCTCTTCAATTTCCATCCCAAAAAATACCTACAGAAAGGATAACGTTTTGAATACGTCTAGTAGGTAGCAAAAAGACTGCTAGGTATGGGGTGTGGGTTGCCCATTTATGCCAAGTAGCACTATGAAGTCCTAAATGCGCAGAATGTTTTGTTGTCTTTTTTTTTGTTATGTTTATTTTTTTTATTAAACTGTGAACAAATTAGATCAAATTTTAAGCATACATTGCATCAAATAGGTAAGTATTGTCAGCTGAAGTGGCTGCAGTTGAGTACTGGATGATAAAAGCCAGAATAAAAGTAATTAATAAAATATTGAATAATTTTGGATCCTTACATAACAGATTTCCCTTCTTTACCTGCTGCAGTGAGTATGCAGAGCAGTAAGAAGGACTTAACATGGCAAATCACCCACCGAGGACTGCTGTTGTTAGCCAAGTTTTATAGCCCTTCAACCTCTCTACCTTCTGGGGTGCTTAGATTGCTTTGGGAATCTAAGATCAGGAAATAGTTGCACAGGGGAAGTTTTCATTCATTCATTCATTCATTCATTCATTCATTCATTCCGTTTCTATAGCCGCCATCTCAACCAGTGACTCTGAGCGGCTTACAGTAAGGTTACATAGGAAATGAGGATTGGCTACATTGTTAAATATCTACCAGGCATTGGGCAAGTATTTAAGACAAAAAAACAGGAAATAATTAGCTAATTGGGGCAAGCAAATAGGAGAAAACTTGCTTGTCCAAGCTAATTAAGAGCACAGTGCTTTCTAGTAAAACAAGAATCTTTGCCGTTGCAGAGGAATGGATCCAAAGTTTTACTCTCTTAGACTTCAAATATCAATGAAATGTTTTCCCTAATTGTTCAGATATTTTGATTCGTCTGACTTGAGAAGTAGTGCTTTTTCTAAATGGGATGACAATTCTGATTCATTCTGGAAGAAAGAAAGCAGCAGCAGCAGAGATATTGATATGATTTTGTCTTCCAAGCCTACGAGCTATTCAGAGAGGTAACTTTCTTTACAAAATATCAACACTTATAGGACATAATATACACAAAGTCGATTACTTTGCTTGCTGACCTGCCACTATTAAATCATCTTTGCAAAATAAGGTAAACTTGAATATTCAGATTTCAGTATTGGAATGAAAATTTACGTAACAAAAAAAAATCTACATATTTGAAATCTGAATGTTATATTAACAACATCTCTGCAAACAGGAGTGGGGTGTGTGTGAAGGATTTAGAGTTAAGACTCTAAAAACACTATTTTGCTTTTTGGTTGATTCGATACGTCAAGGGAATATAAAGCTCCAAATTCCTTTGGATTAAAGTCATAAATAATAAATACTGCACACTTATTCTTTTAAAAACAATACATTTTCTGTGCTTGTAGTCAATTTTTTATGCCTTTTCAAAGATTTCCGGGTAGTTTTCAGTATTGGTCACAAATGATTCCATAATAAGGAGGACAAACTGACAATAGAATTTTTACAATTGTAACTGTTGTGTATAACCATTAGTAACATAAAAAGCAGATAATAAGTAGTTGTCTTTATAAATCTGTCATGCTAAGATAGTATTCACAATACAGGTAATCTTCAACAACCATAATAAAGCCGACCTATTAACTCCTCTAAGTCATGACAGTTGTAAAACAGGTCACCCACATGACTACATTGTTTGCTGTGAGGAGTTTTTGCCAAAGATCGGAAGTTTTCAGCCAAAATATAAATCACAATCATGTGATTAAAGAACACTGCAGGCAGCCCTAAATTCAGGCCAGTTGCTAAGCACCCAAAATGCAGTCCTACGACTGCAAGGGCAGCCTTCAGAATTTCAGAAGCAGATCATAGTCCCTTTTAGGGAGTCCACCATAACTTCAGAGAGTTGCTAAATGACTCATTGTAAGTTGAAAACTACCTGTATTAAGGATATTTGTAAAATGCAAATTTCATTGTTGAACTGGGACCTCTTGAGATATAACCATGTTAAAACATTTCTTAGGTCATCGTCTCGTAGGAAACTAGAGCATGAAAAATCTGCAAACACAGATGAAGCACAAAAGAAATTTGGCAATGCAAAAGCTATTTCATCAGATATGTACTTTGGAAAGCAAGACCATGCTGAAGTAAGTGTAGTCAAACATTTTGAATTTATTCACTGGTTATGGTTTCAGAATGTTATCCCATCACAGTACGAAAAGATGTCGAATACCATGGAATTACAAAAACATTTATATGCTTTATATTTTCTTCAGTTACTATCTAAATTTTTCAAGGGGAAAATCAATAAGAAAAATCAGGAGGAAGATCCAGGGGGAAAAATGGTTTCAATGTCAACTTGTCAGAATATGGAATATAAACTGTATTTGGAAGGATTCATTTATTCAGGGAAAAAGTTCACTGCTATAAATATTTCAATACAGTCCATGTAAATATTGTTTCATTAGATATAGCAGTGGTTCTCAACCTGTGGGTCGGGACCCCATTTGGGGTCGAACGACCATTTCACAGGAGTCGCCAAACAAGGCTGTCCGCCATTTTTTCCCCCTTTTCTTTGGCCACGCCCCTGGCACCCGGTGATGTATAAGTGGTTGGGGGTCACCACAACATGGGGAACTGTATTATGGGGTCGCGGCATTAGAAAGGTTGAGAACCACTGAGATATAGGGGAAAACTCTGCTCAGAGAGTATTCTATTTTACATCTGTTTCGAGGTTATCTAAATTTTGCAATATATATAGATTAATTTTGTAGGTTGTTATAATGGACTGTATTTTTTCCAGTTTTATATGAACTTTGGAGAATTAGCCATGCCTGCGTGCTTTCTTTGATTGGCATTTTGAAAACCATTCTCTAGATGGGAAAGATGGACACATTCTTTATTCCTGAAATTTCTTTCACTCTCTATAGTATGAAGCCAGAGTTCGATTAGAAAGGCTTTCCGGAAATGCTGCTATAAGTTCAGCTGATTTGTTTGAAGAGCAAAAGAAACAGCCATCAGGTATGAAAGAAAAAAGCTGAGCTTCAGATATTGCCAGTTTTATAAAAACCTGCTATGCGTATTAACTATAATATACCATAAATGCCGGCGTACAAGGCGACCCGGCGTATAAGACGACCCCCGTCTTTATAGCTGGGCCGCATTCGTAGAACGTCGTCTTATACGCCGGAAACTACCAGTATTTCCGGCATATAAGACGACTCGGCGTATAAGACGACCCCCGTCTTTGGCGCCGATTTCAGCGCTCGCGGAAGTCGTCTTATACGCCGGCATTTACGGTACTAATTAAGATTTTGGAAAATAAATAAGGTACAGTGCATCTCTGGATAAATTTGTTCAAGAGTCTTAATTCTTTTGAAGACTCTTGTGCCTACACACAAGTAGAGCACAGGGCAATTGGCCCTATCATTCCACCATTGTCACCGCTAGTTATTTCATTTTCTTCAAAGAAATAAATTAGTGGTGTCATATACACGTGAGGTTGCAATTAAGGTATTGAACTGGCACTGAGAAGATTCAGGTTCATGTCTGTGTTCGTCAGTCACAAAGCTTACTCTCTCAACTATACCCATCTCACAAAGTTCTAGATGTGGGGAAAATAGGAAGAGGGACTCCAGTGTTTACCATTTGACTGAATAAAATGCCAGATAAAAGCTCTTTAGGTTGCAAGTTTGGAAAGAAAGGGTGGGATGGCAAGGTAACGTGTAAAATGGAGAGTTTTTCTTTGCTTTGCTCATGTTACCTTGCTGTCCCTTTATTTGCAAGCTCTTTGGGCTGCCACCTCACTCATTCTTTCTTGCCTATGATCGGGTTTCACTCTTATTTCTTTCTCTCCCGAACCACCATTTCAGGTGTTGCAGTGGCCGTAACTTTGAAACTGGGTTGTAAGTAGCTTTTTTGGGGGGGGGGGTCTGTCATAAATTGGCAACCTGTCATAAGCCATGCACTACCTTGACATCTAATGAATGTCAAAATCTTACGCTAGCCCTTTAACAATGTAAATAAATGGGAGATGATAAGTATGTGAAGAAATGACAATTCTCATTTATTAATATTTTGAAATCTAATTTGTTTTGCCTTGATAGGCTACCAAATTTAGAAAGCTCTCTCGTCAATGTTGCATTATAACTTGCTTGCTGAAAGCTGTTACGCGAAAAAGGAATCAGTATATTGCTTCATCTCTCAGAAAGTAGAATTCTGAACATAGTGGATCTGAGCTATTTTTTCACAACAAGACTTATTTTATATATTGTATTTGTGCATATCCATGTAGTTACTGTTTTTTGTTTGAATGTTTATGCCACCATATATAATTAATTTTTTACCATAAGGGTGTACCTTATGAGCTGTGGTGGCATAGTGGTTAAAATGCAGTATTGCAGGCAAACTCTGTCCACAGTCTCAAGGTTGACGCAGCCTTCCATCTTTCCCAGGTTGGTAAAATGAAGACCCAGATTGCTGGGGGCAATATGCTGATATTTGTAAACTGCTGTGAAGCACTATGGAGTGGTATATAAGTCTAAGCGCTATTGCTATTATTAATAGTAATAATTCACTTTTAATAATTTATTATTTGTAATAATTTAATATTATTTATGTCCTGCTTTTCTGCAAAACAGAAGTTCCTCTTTTTCTGATTAGTACTTGAATGGGGAGACCATCTGGACATTTCAGGGCTGTACAGATAGTCCCTGGGTTACAACAGCAATTGGGAGTGGAATTACCATCACTAAGCGATGTGGTCCTTAAAGAGTGATATCATGTGACTGCATTGCTCAGCAAAGGCAATCCTGGGAGTCTTGGTGGCTGTAGTAACCCCAGGACCTCACACATCATGAAGCAGAAAGATAGGGAAGTCCCAGGCAAGCAGGTAAATGTGTGAGTACTCTGGGCAGGTGCTATAGAGCAGGGTTAGATGCCACAGGCAGGCACAAAAAAGCAGGGATGAGTGTGCAAGTAGGGAATGCAGGAATGCTGCATGTGGAAGAGATTGCTGTAAGCAGACACTAGAGAACACAGGTGAGTGTGTGGAGGTCAGTTAGTGCTATGGAGCATAGGCAGACAAAAAAGTGGCCGGGCTGATTTCTAACATCGTACTGGCTTCCCCGTTGGCTTTGCTTGTGGAGGCCAGCAGGAAATGTTGTAAGTTGTAATCACATGACCATGGTTCATTACATCATAATCAGAAGCACCCGAGTGCCTGGATCGCAGTCATGTGATTGTGGGGAACCGCAATAGCCAGAACTGGGGTGGTCTTAAATCCCCTTTGTTTAGCACAATCATAGTTTTGAACGGTTGCTGACTGAGTTGGCATAACACAAGGGCCACTGTAAGTTGCACTGAGAAGTCAAAAACATTACGGTATCTTTGAAGAAAGCAGTGTCATACCAGTTCCCCATTTTTGCAAAGAAAATCACCTGGCTCGCTCCACGTAACCTTTCCGTTTAATAAGGATGTCCAAGGTGGCTTTCAATTTAAAGCACAGATAACAAGATTTAAAAAAAGAAAAAGCAACAACAAATTAATTGGAACACAAATAATGAAAGCTTTAACCATTAAAAGCCCAGCAAATAAGGTGTAGCTTTAAGGTTTCCTAAAGGTAGAGAACGTGAACACTTCGAAGGAATCCATCCTGTAGCCTGGGAATGATGCAGGCGAAGGGTCTCTCCTGCTCCCCATGTTTCATTCTTCATTTTTAGTTTGTGAGAGTTACTACAAGCTTTATTTCTCTGGTTTAACCTTGTCTTCGGTTGTTTAAAAGGAAAGACTTTATTGGGTGGAAGGAGTACTAAACAAAAATCTACGTAGAAGCTGTCTATTTGTTCAAGGATCAAACCATCTTTTCGATACAAATCAACTTTATTTATTATGTTGAGTTTATTCCCTTCAAATGGTTTTATGGAGCTACGTGCTAAAATCTTTCTTTTTTCTCTCTCTTTCTGTCTTTAGGCAATTATAATATTTCAAATGTCTTGCCTGGTGCTCCTGATATGACTCAGTTTAAACAAGGAGTGAAGTCTGTTGCTGGAAGGCTTTCTGTCCTGGCAAATGGAGTCATGACTTCTATTCAGGTTAATAAACTTACAAATTTGGAATCTTTCCCAAATGAAATGGTCTCATATGCAATCTTGGTCACAGTTTAGTCCTGTCATTTGGTATGAAAGGTGGAAGAACTGTGAACCTGCTCATGAGAATATATGCAGAGCCACAGAAGGATTGTTTTATAGCTAAAAAAAAAAAAGGAAAGCCCCTTTTTTGTTAGGGCAGCCAATATCTCTTGTGAAATAAACGAAGAAAAGAACACAAAACGTTCTTACACGTTTTTCAGGTTGCTTTATTAAGTTGCCTATGAACGCGGCTAGTTAACCAGTAGTTATGCCTGCAAAGTTTTCAGAAACAAATATACCTTAATTGCTTTGTAAATTCCAAATTATTATGAACTTATCGGATACAAAATAACATCAGTATAGGTTTCATTTTGTGGCAAAGTTAAAATGAAAACGCTGTATATAAATAAGGGCAATTTTGCTTATGAGAAATGTAACCTGTTCATTTCTTTTTATCTTTCCCTAGGACCGCTATGGTTCTTAACCATTATGTTTCAGGTGACTGGCTATCTAGAAGATTTAAAAAACAACATTTCTGTGTCTACGAATAATTATATTGCAGACTAACATGAAGGTTCCCTTTAGTCTGTAAAATATGTAGTCCTAATTTTTAGCACTTGTATATTTTTAATGGGAGTCTTTTTTGGCTCCTCACAATATTCATTTATTATTTCTGTTCTTATTCTGGTGTTTGTTTTTGCTGCCTTATTGTGCTAAAGGTTAATTGGATACATTGAATCTGCTTCTAAAACAGAGCATGAAGCAATATGGGATCCCATTGTCTTTCCCAGAATAGTACTAGGCCAGGGGTAGGCAACCTTGGCTCTTTTATGACTCGTGGACTTCAACTCCCAGAATTCCTGAGTCAGCATAGCTGACTCAGGAATTCTGGGAGTTGAAGTCCACGAGTCATAAAAGAGCCAAGGTTGCCTTCCCCTGGCCTAGGCTAAGAATTAATTCAATTTTATAAATCTGAGGGATAAGTGATTATTTTAAATTATGATTGTGACCTGGTCATACATTACTTTTCATTGTCTCTCTGAAAAGGAGAGTGGCAATTAATTCCTTGCCTTTTCTGTTTTGAAAAGTGCCTATTTTTTTGGGGGGGGGGGGAAGAGGGACATTAACCCTACTAAGACTTTTCACTCTATGGGGATTCAGGTAATTGTTCAAAGATAAAAATACATAAGAATAAGAAGGTTAAAGAAATGCAAAAGCCTATAAAATGTTCAAATTGTTATGTGAGAGATAATGGTGGAGTCTGGTCAGCAAAAATTTAAGGTATATAATTTTGTGTCAGATTGTGTTCAGTAAATAGTAAAGAGTAATAGATGTGCACATAACATAACTGAAAATTAGTAGGTGCAATGGAAAATTGTAATAGTTTTTATTGCATTAGTTTTCCATTTAAGTTCGTTTCATGAAGATGAGACGCGTAAGTTCTTTATTTAAAATAGCGTAAGTGTGACCTATTTATTCATCACATTTAATTTGATTCCTTAAATGCTTATTTGCAATCAATATGGTGTCTGAAATAAAGAATAAATTGTAGGTATATATAAAGTAATAAGGAGAGATGCTCCCTAAATCTAACCACATATAGACTGATAGAATGTTTAAATAACGAACAGCTCTTTCCTTGCATCTGTGCATAAAAAAGCTTGCTGGCTGTGGCTGTGTTTTAGACAACCAGGAACCTCAGTTATTTAAAACAATGAATTTAAAATGTTTAATATGAAGTCAGAAATTTTATTTTTTTTCTTTGAACAGCAGGCATTTCAATATAATAATCAGAATAAATTTTGATTTTACAACTTGTGTCTTGGATTTTAATCAATTCTTAAATTTGATATAATATGGATTTTCATGAATTTTCACATCTTCATCACAAGTACAAACCATTTTAATAACTTATCACGTTTTTAAAAAAATCAATAAATGATCAATACCCATAGCTCATCTCTCATCTATAAACAAATCTTTAAAACATTGTTTCAATCCTAATCAGCAAAAGTCCATTAGATTACTAGAAATCACATATTTCAATTTATATTCCTCAGCCAACTTTATATTCTTTCCTTTTATTTTAATAATCTTGATCTTTAGTCCATTCAACTAATATCCTAGAACTTTATTCTTTTCATTTTTTATTCATCCTTTCTCACAAAATTTTTCAAAACTTTAACAAGCCTTCCAGCTACTGATAGTTCTCATAAGTATGCTTAAAAATAGAAATTATGGCAATCTGCACCCTCTTCAACATTGAACTGAACTTCCCTATGAAAGTAATAATGTTTTAGCCCTCTTTGCTCAATGCACTCATTTGCCATTAGGGAAAAATGCTGCCACAGTCATCATGTGATATAATTTGACATATTTTGAAAATTTTGGTTTCCAGATATGTCCCTCTGACCTTATTGAGTAAATCTTCAGAGACTATATGAATTTTCATTCTTCTCTCATTTTTGATTTAAAACATAATTTAATAAATTATAATTAAAATATAAATTAAAACAGGAATTTCAAAGAAAGTTGTTGCATATGAAGTTCTGTTTAATCATTAATTACTTGAATTGCAACAGGCTTGCTAAAAAAATATATGCTGTTCATATATTGTATATTCTGTGTTAGGGATGTACAAAAAGCTCCATGCAAAGAAAGAGGACTTTGGGCAATCTGTGGATGGAGAGAAATCTGTGGGCATCTTACAATTTGCAATGTCTGGAATCTGGGGCAATCGGCTTAAAATGTTTTAGATGAAAATATGTATACATACAGTATATGTTTGGGTCTGCCATTCCTTTTAAGTTCCTCTGATTGAATACCCAATTTTCTTTTGCTGTTGGAATCATCTTGATCTTTACAATTTCCTGATCAGGACAAATACAAGAGGGGGAATATGTAGGCATATAATGAATACATAGCACATTCTGAATCTACTGTATGACTAGAAAGTAAGTAACAAAAAATGCAATCCAAATTTAAGCTGCTTTCCAGATGCCCACTGAATTTATACTTCCTTTCTCATGGCAGAGATTGTGCCAAGCATTTCATAGGTTCTCTCAAAGCTTTTAATTTCTATTTGTAGAACATTGCTGATGTAGGGGTGTTACTGCTTTTCTTGCAAAGAGCAAGGGGCTTTTTGCTTTTTCTCAGAAACAACTAAATGTAGCTGCAGGAGATCCACACCTGGACTTGTTTGTTTACAGTTATAAACTTTGGGAGTTGTAATTCCAAAATATCTGGAGAACACCAAATTCAGCAAGATTGATGTAAGCTATTACATGATACATTCTCATGAATGCCACTTGTGAAATCTGTTTATACAGGTTACAGGGAGGCTGTGGTTGATAGAGTCTCTCGTTCAAATTGCCAGAATATTTAAAATCACTTTGTCAGGAGGATTCTCTGGCATACCTTCCACTTGAAGAAATCTTTGAGAATGGATAGGAAATTATTACAGTGGAAAGAACAGAAGAGGATCAAAATAACAAAGGAGTCAAACAATATCTGTGCTGTTCGTTAGTTACAAAACAGCATTTTTATAGCATGTAAATTAGTCATACTAACCATTAACATTCAGTGACTCAGCATAATCCTTTTAGACCTGAACACCACAAAACCATTATTGGCTGAAAGAGATTTAAAATCTGTAGCAAATTAGCAAAGTCAGATGAGTGAAATTGCTTTTGTCTCCTGTTGGGAAACAAAATCACAGTCATACTGGTAGATAATTTCAATAATGGGAGACAGAGTGAGTGTGACGCTATTGATCCTCGACATTTCAATGTGTTTTGATACTATAATCCATCGTATTCTCCTGGACCATCTCCATTAATTGAAAGTAGCCGCTTAGAGTGGTTCTTGTAGGAATGACCTAATGGATGACTACTAGGTCTCATGAAATAAACAGAGTTCCAACTAAATGTGCATAATTTTAAAGCAATTTAATCAAGTCTCCCGATTTCAAGTGCATTTAGCCTGAATTATCTTTTCTTGAATTGTGGTTCTGTCTTTGCAATTCCAAGCATTTAATGAATAGCTGATCACTGGACCTGCTCAGAAACAAAAGATGTTTTTGTATCTGAAAAGAGACAGTGAATGAAGTTGATTGGTAGAACATTAAAAATTAAAACTTGGCTCAAAAGTATTAACTGTGGCAGAGATCTAGGTATCCTAATGGACCACTACATAAATAGCGATAACATCAATAACACGAGAAGTGCCAAACACCAAAAAGACTGAGACTCTAGAAAGTATGCAGAGAAGAGCAACAAAAATGATAAAAGGTCTGAAAGCTAAATTGTATGAAGAACAGTTGAGGGAGCTAAGTACGTCTACCAAAGAGAAGGATTAGAGGGGAAATGATAACTGTCTTCCAGTACTTGTGGTGCTGTCGCAGAGAAGAGAGGGTTGACGTATTCTCCAAAGCACCAGAGGGCAGGAAAAGAAGTAATGGGTGAAAGCTTGTCAAAGAGAGTTCCAACCTAGAACTAAGAATTTTTCCTGCAGTGAAAACAATGGAATAGCTTGCCTCCTGGAGTTGTGGGTCCTCCATCACTGGAGGTTTTCAAAAACAGACTGAACAACCATTTGAATATAATAATAATAATAATAATAATAATAATAATAATAATAATAATAATAATAATAACAACAACAAAAAGGCATTTGACTCTCTGCCACATGATTGGATAATCAAGTGCCTAGAAATAACAGGAGTCAGTAGAAACATCAGAAAATTTGTGCAAAGATCGATGGCACAATGGAAGACACAGTTGCAGATCAATGGTGAGAGCTGGGAGAGGTTAATATCAAGAGAGGAATATTTCAAGGAGATTCATTATCACCATTACTATTTGTCATTGCACTGTTTCCTCTGTCAACAATACTGAATAACTCAGGACATGGCTATCAAATATCAAAAACATCTGCCAGACTATCCCACCTCCTTTATATGGATGATCTGAAGCTGTATGGAAAAACATCATCTGAAATAGAATCGCTGCTCAACACTGTCCGTATATATAGCCAAGATATTGTAATGGAGTTTGGCTTGGACAAATGTGCCACACTTACTATCAAACAAGGAAAAATAGTGAAAACTGAAGGAATCAAGATGCCCCACGAAAATAACATTAAGAGTCTGGATGAGGAAGAGTACTACAAATACTTGGGTATCCTTCAAGCTGACAACATCAAGCACACTGAAGTCAAGAAAAAGATTAGAGGTGAATACATCAAGAGAGTGAAGAAGATCTTAAAATCCAAACTCAATGGAGGAAATACCATAAAGGCAATCAACACCTGGGCAATCCCAGTCATTAGGTACACAGCTGGAATAGTGGACTGGACTCAAGCAGAACTAAAAGCAATGGATAGGCAGACCAGAAAAATAATGACAATGAATCATGCCCTTCATCCACGCAGTGACATTGATAGACTTTATCTACCAAGGCAAATAGGTGGGCGTGGAATGCTACAAGTACATCAGATGGTTGAAGAAGAAAAAATGGCTTT